TATTTTTAATCATTTAGGAATATTTTCCTTTTGTCAGAAACTGCACTTGAGAAGGAAACATGGATGAAGACGCTAACAGGACATTGATTTCAAATTGCCAGGAAACTTCCGAAAATTTCAAGTTCAGTTTTGAATTAATTTGAATTATTTGTTAATTTTTTTAACTTAAAAGTTTTGAATGTCTTGGCATTTTATTTAGGGGGAGAGGTGGGTGAGGTCTCAGTTTGAATGATGCTCTAACCATCGCTTTTTACTTTCAAAAAGATTCGCTCTAAATTGTCAACCTCAATTTCGAATGAACTCGAATACTGACAATCTATGTGACAAGAAGCAACCAGTTAAGAACATTGTCTAAAATGCTACGTAGAGTTATCACGGTGCTACGAGCAGACCGTCCTTGGATTGTGTGGTAAATATTTGATGTGGCTCTTACCTACACATATTTAGTAATCAAGCTTTAATTTGCTATTAAACACAGGGCAAGGTAAGGTATTGCATTTAATAACCTAGATTATTCAAATTGAATATTTAGTGCCTTGAAATAGGCTTAATCAGGCTTATAAAATCTCATAATTTTAAGTTTTCAGCTTTGACCTAATATAGAGACACTTAGAAGCTCGCGTATCTACGGGAATCATAAAACAACTAATTATGATGGAGACAGTTTTTTTGAACTTCAAAAAAAAATATTGGTGTTAGTAATAAATCTTAACAACTCTAATCTCAATAAAATTACTATTAGTCATTTTTTATTGGACATTTTTTTTTTCAATTCGGTAGATTCGTAGACAGACTTATTTTTCTACTTCAGTGAATTCTAAAGAACAACGACTCCGCCCTCGTTAAAAAACCGTGTAAAAACTTGGACATCCATCACATGGGTTTATAGGCTTATATCTTGACACACAATATAGCAAATGACAACAACCAGAAGAAARGATCAAGTGCAAAAGGATATCAAAACTTCATGAACATACCATTGTATTTGTTCGATAAAATACTTTAAATTTAAGGCGAATTTCAATKAAAAAGTAAGTGGACATGGAATTGTAAGCCACTCAAACTGTGAGACTGAAAATCTGCAAATGGCCATAAAAACGGATGAAGAAGCATTTACAAAATGAAAACATTAATTCCGCTTAKCCCCTTATTCAACACACGGTCTCCATTTTCTTGATCCCCTGCGAACATAACTAGCGAAAATTGGCTTTTAAAATTTATCCTTGAAATGATTGATTACATACATTTTCGCAATCATTATATTTTCACTTTCTTTGCCTGGTAAAACTTAAGCCATTAGCTTCACGATTAGTTTGTCTTATCAAGTCCCTAGGTCTGTCATTATAATTTGAAATTTATTTATTCGGTAGCCGAAGTCATGCTCCTTAGGGTAATTTTAGGTTAGTCTTTAGGATCATTTTATACCGTGATACCGAGAATACAAATTATACTGCAGGCGCAATCGGCGCGCGCGCACGAGTGACGCCTATAGTGGATTCATTTAAGGCACTATCCCATCATTCAGCGCGCGCTATTTATTATCGCGGTCTAGAAGAAGAATTCGATCGTCTACTGCACGGAAGGCAATATATTATCGTTAAACTTAATATATGTACCGTTTTGCAAGGTAAATAAACTTTYACTCTTTCTATTTTRAATTTAATAGTGTGAGAAAGAAAATATTCTCAGCTTGCGATGCTTTGTTGGATGGTACATTACTTTAGTCTGAAACCGCGCGCTGATTGGCTAAGATCAAAAACGTGATCAACTGGACGATCGCCTGGCTAGATATYACTCCTAACACTCTAAGAGCTGGAAGAACATAAATCGAATAGTTTCATTTTTAATTGATATTTAACTAGAGAAACGAGAGACAAGGACATTGAAGTGAGAAATTAGCATTGATATGCCAGGACTAAGCCGATAGAAGCAATGGCTATAAAAGGATAATAATTCCCTTAAAGTGCTTGTGAACCACATTTTTTTTACAATTTGCACAGAAAATCTAATCTATTCTTAGGGTGTTGGTGTAATTTTCTGTTGAATCTGACCTATGTATAAATAAATAATGCTATATAATGCTAAATAATGGCAGTTTGGGCTACCTGTGTAATATACGTCAAGTAATAAACCGAGTTGGTACCGAGAAATAACTKACGTCATAATAGTAAGCGATTAACGCGCCAAACTTGATTTCTCGTAGATTTCTGTTTAACACCCACCCAATCGATTTCATTGTACACGCCAACAGTCTGTTATCGTTGCCAGATTSCTGAGAATGATAGTGCAAAAAGGAGGACTAATCTTCTTTCTACATTTGGTTGCATCCCTACAAGTGGTACAATCGAGAAAATATCAAAAAAGACATTCTCAAAATGGTAATTATATTGGATTGACTGGATTTTCTTTCTAGCTCTGACWGCTTTGGTGCTCTTCATACTGCTGTTGCTTTTATGTTTGTTTTCATTTTCATATTTTGGTCGAGAAGCGTCGTGCCAAGCACAAGTGTCTCTTCCCTTTTTGTTAACTCATACCGTTCATGACTTTATCCTTCACAGAACTTGGACAATTAACCAGGAGAATGTTCTATTGGTTTCCAAAAACCATTCAGCGATACAAGCAAAATATCCATGGAAGACATCATGAAAGACCCTACAACTTTGGATATCCTTATCCARTGTGGTATGGGAACTCATATTCAGCGCCCTCGACTGCACCTTTTCCATTGACGTTCCCTAAGGAAGAAAGTACCATGCTGGATTCAATGATGTTTCCTGGAGATACAAATTCTCGTTATCAAGCGAATGAAGATGCACAACCAGACAGGAATGAGATATTGACTATCAAAGGAAGACGTAAGTACAAATTGATGKTGCAGTGAGCAGCAGTTAGTAAGGAGGCACGTCTTGTTTACAATGAAAAAAAAAAAGAAATACAATATTTAAATCCACTGGCTCCCTTTAGAAAGTAACGCACAGCAAAGTATTGGAACATTGTATAATGAATATTCAGTAGAACTTTGCTCACCTAATTTACTGAATGATTCAGATTTTAAGAGTATTGGATGCTGGACTGATAGTGTCTTCGGCAGAGCTATAAGCTCCCTGGAAGGAAAACACCCCTTACTAAAAAACCGCAATTACAAAGCACGAAGTAATGCTSTCATGAAATGCGCCGAGGCAGCCATTGACAAAAACTTTAAAATTTTCGCATTGCAAAATGGTGGCCAGTGTTTTGGACAGGCAGATCAGGTTGAATCCTACAAGAAGTTCGGACCCTCCAGGAATTGTAAAGGTATAAYAGCATTTCAACTTGGAAAATTTCAGTCAAAGGTTTGACAATCTTTGTTACTGATCGATATTCCTGGTTTACTCAAATMTTTTTKAWTGCTAAACCTCAATTCAAATGATCTACGACTTGTGTTTTTTTACTTAAAGGTGATGGAGAAGGGGGCCCACAAAGTAACGAGGTTTACAGGTGGAAAGAAATGTTACTAATGTCTAGTTTACATGATGTGTTAGGGCACACCAGATATTTTGAATTTCCTCAATTTTTTTGATTAACCGCACCTAAAAGGTTCAGAGAAAGCAGCAAGCTATATTAGCTACAACAAGTCATAAAAAATGCTTTCGACATTCCAGATTAAAGAGGCACCGAGAATTCAATATTTCAGTGATTTTCTCTTACATACGAAATATCGCTATAGTTGATTTCTTTAAAGTAAAGGAAACGATCGCAAATATCTTTGGATGTATTTCGGAGTTTATACCTCAACGTTTTTCTTATTAAAAAAATAGTCTGGTCGTCTAACTTACTTACCTCTATTGCAGCTTCATGAAAAATAAYAAAACTGAAGTTCTAGAAGAGCAGTATCAGGATGACTTTAATTGGTCTCCTTGGTCAGCTTGTGGTCTACCATGTGCAGGTTCCCAGGGAATTCAGTCAAGGAATCGATCTACGTGCATTAGTTTACCGACTGTTATTCTTAAGCCGTGCAGTACCTATGAAACTCGTCCTTGTCAAATCACTGTGTGTCCGCGTACGTATCACTTACTTAATCCTAAACAATAGTTTGCTTGGTAGTAGCTACTTRCTGACGTTTCGGACTCTAATCCTTTGTTGGAGAAATGARAGGGTTATAGTTCTCTCTTTACTCCGACGAAGGATGAACGTCAGAAACGTCAGTAAGTTGTTGGCACCTATTTATTTGCGGTGTTTARAAATTTATCTTTTTACACAACTGTTTCTTTAGAAACACCAACGCAGCTCACACTAGTTTACCGCTAGCTTCCATCAGTAGCTACTTTAATATTACAACATGTAATCCATGACATGAAAACGTTTGAAAGTGCTATCCGATTTGGTCGTGTATATGCAACTAAATGCACATATGTAAAGAAAGATGGACGATGTTGCTGTACGTTGCAATATTTAACAAAATACTTCTGAAAAATTGCTTAATCAGCATAATAAATGAAAACATTTATGGACAAAATAATTTTTCATTGTTACCAAAATGTGACATTCCAAATTTGATTTCAGCACCCATTCGACCTCCGACACCGCCAACCGTGCCTCCAACATCTGCACCTACACCGCCTCCAACCGAACCCTCAACATCACTACCTACAGCACCTCCAACACCTSCACCCACGTCGCCAACCRAACGTCCAACATCAGCACCTACACAACCGCCCACAACAGCACCAACTGCTCCAACTGCAACTCCAACATCAGTTCCATTGAGTACATCAGAACCAACCACACCCATATCGATGACTACACATCCAACTACACGTCAACCAGGTACCGAAAGTTKGCTGAATTCTGCACTGATTGACCYACTTCAGTTAATTGCTGTTGTTTAATCAATGAGTCTTTAAACTAGTTGTCTTAAAATCAATTGTGATCACTTCGTTGAATTTGTTTACTGCAAGATTTATTCATTCCTTGGATAAAATATGTCCATTTGTTCACACCTTAATATATTCTTTTAACGTTTCCTTTTTAGTTTGCAAAGCCACAGTTGATCTTGGATTTCTGATCGATGGCTCATTAAGTATTGGGTCACAAGAAAACTTTTCCAAAGAGTTACATTTTGTTACAAGTATTGTTGACGGGTTCGAGGTTTCACAGGAAGGCACCCACATCGGAGCAGTCCTTTTTACATACGAACAAAGACTCCTTCATACTTTCGACCAATCTTATGACAAACAAGCTATCATAGAYACAATAAATAGAACAATATGGCCTGAAGGAGGGACTTATATAGGTAAAGCCATAAAGTTTGCACAAAGAGAATTGTACGAACAAAGCAGGCGCTCGAAATCAGTACCTAAGATTCTTATAATCTTGACCGATGGCCGTGACAATGACCAGGATGAAGAAATTGTGAGTGACGCTTCAAAAGAGCTACGTAAATTTGGGGTGACTATCTTTGCGGTTGGTATTGGTAGAAATTATGACATTAAGGAGTTGAATARCATGGCATCAGATCCTAAATCAAGCCACGTCTTTCATGTCGAGGATTTGGACAAACTTGATACAATCCTAAAAGCAATTCGCGACAAAGCTTGTCAAAGTGAGTCGTTTTCGAAAAAATATATRTATTCCCGAAAGTGGCGTTTCTGATTTTGTTTTCATCTTTTTTTTCTTTCAACTCCAACGTTAGCTCCATCGAGTACATCAGCACCAACCACACCTTTATCAATGACTACACATCCAACTACACAACCAGGTAGGAACGTAGTGAAGTTGCTTAATATCCCCTCATATGGCCCTACTTCAGCTAATTACAGATATATTCACTTTATTGCATATTTTCTTTCCTTGCTTACTGTTGTTTGATCAGTTTTTGCGCTATTTGATTTAAAAT